TGGAGTTGACATCAGCCAGCAAGGCTTTGGAGGAAGCCGAGAATCAGCAAGGCCGAGAATCAGAGGAACGGATGTTGGAATCCTTGGATCAACATCCACGTACTTCTGAATCACGAAATCCGCTGGAAGCATCGTCAACTTCCACTGAGAATGGACAGAAATCTGCAGGTGTGTCGAGGGTAGGTGAGGCATTGTGGCGGACGTGCACGAAGCTTGCTGTGGCCAAGGAGGAGAAGAGGTCACTAAGCTGGTGACAATTTGAACAATTTTAAAAAGGATTATATATACTCAAGTGAATCTATTGTTTCGCAGGTGTCAGATCAACTCTGAGATGTTCATTGCATTATTCTTTCATGTTAGCCAGTGAGCAATTAATTGAACCCGGCAGTCAAGCAGACAGGGCTGTGGACATCTCGCTGTCAAGCAGAGAGGGCACCTTTTTGTTTTTTGATCTCTTCTAAAACAAGTTCCAAATGTTGTCCCTCCGACCTCCAGAGTGGTCTTGCATTGGTTTCTTTCCGTTTATGTTTGTTTTTTGTTAAACAAGAATTAGTTTGCTTAAGCCCTGGCACGTTTCTCAGAGCCTTTTCTCGCTCTTCCGCGCTTAGGACGGAGGCCGCTCACGAGGCCCTCCTGAAGCTCCGCAGCGTCGCGGCCGGCGGCGCGGTTGGCGCGCCGGAGACGCGCGCGCCAGTCGAAGGGACGAGGTCCTGGGCGATGTCGCCCGGCGTGGCAGTGCAACGCGCCAAGGCGCGGTTTTTCCGGAGCGGGGTCGGAGAAAAGGACAGATGAACATCCCAGGGGTGCTGCAGAGCGCTGGTGAAACAGGATGAATGTTGGGTGTGGTATGAGTGTGGGTGGAACAGAGGTTGCTTGAAGATGCAGGGCGGGTTGATGGTGCATGAATGTATTCTATTTTTGTTGTGTGTGTGTTGTTTGTGCTTGGTGTGGAGCCTTCTTTGGGATTGATTTGTGCATTGAACCCTGCAAAGCTGCAAGTTCCACGTCTGTAGATTCCATATCTCCGGCCTCGCATCCCAATGACCTTGGACCTTCCAATCCCTGTGCCATCCTGTGCCCAATTAAGCCGGCTAAGCCGTCCTGGCAGATTTTCAGAATGGGTATATAACTTGAATTGGATCCAGGTCCCAGTCAACCAGTGATTCCGAAGAGCTATGAATGCCCAATGCCCGCGCGTCAAACCACGCAATACCATATGCACCCTTCTTGTCGACCGTTAACTGGAAAAGCGCGGTCTCGAGGCCAGCGACTTGCTCCTGAAAGCTTTAAAGAAGAGCTCAGAGCCGGAGCCGAGCTGAACGACGACTGAAGCACGGCACCTTCAGCTCGGCCCTGATCATTTCGCGGGACTCAGTGGTCGCGTGGCACCTCTTTTTGAAGTGCTGGCTCAAGTCAACAAGGCTTACTCAGAGATTTGAGTACGATCTCCTTCAAAGAGGTCCGGTAGTTTGCCAGGTGTTTTGCAAACAAGGTGCAACGTTTTCTAGTGGCAGATGGTTTAAACGTTTCCGGTGACCGTCCGGTTACCGGTTCGTTCCTTTGTTGCGCAGTCTGCATCAACCGGAGTCCCTGGTCCAAATCACACGGGAATCCTCCCAAAAGCACTGAACGCGGTCCTTCCACAGAATGGAAGGGACGGGTGTCAAGGGACAGAGAGTCCTCTTTGATGTTCTGAAGGAACGATCTTCGGCGTCCTTCCATCGACATGTCCAGGACACCAAGCCTCCCAGCTGTGCCTGGCAGAGCCTCGCGATGGCCTTGCACCACGGATTTGGGCACCAAGACGTTGACAAGGCCTCGAAGAGCGGAGAAGCTGTTGGAACTGGAGCGCGAGCTGCGGAGGTTGTTGGTGCACAGCTACCAAGCACTCTCGCCAAAGGAACTGAGGTTTGTTGCAGAAGCAAAGCTGCAATGTGAGCTTTCCTTCTTTCAGCGCGCTGGATATTTAGAGGTCGAGGAGACACTACAACACTGGAAATGGTATTTGTACTGTGACATTTGACAGCCACTCATTCACTGAGAACAGCCTCAAAGGCTGGAGTGTAGTCCCAAGGACACCGCTCAAAGGCGCTTTTGTAGTTCGAATGCCGTGGGACTCGGTGCCAATGCTTGGTATGGATGTTTAGATCCAGCACAACTTGAGACCACTTGGTCAGCAGTCAGGTTGATAGCATAGCACACCGGGCGCATATTTCGGATGTCTAATATTATGATGTTACCAACACCTCTCAGATCCCTTTGGTTGAGGAGTGGATATTTAGTTGGACAGACTGACAGACATCCACACATTTGAGCCACCCCAGTATTGATGCAGACCCATTTGACTTTGGGTGGTGCATGTTGGTGAGTGTGGGTCTTGAAATCATCCAGGTATACCACAAGATTGGCATGCAGAACACAACAAGTGATGGGTTTGGTGCCCGCACCATTGCTTTGGGCACCTGGAGGTGGACACTGAAAAGGGTTTTTTTCGACATGGGCTCCATCCACGGCAGAAGCAGACGATGACCAACTCAAGACGCAGACAGCAGTGGAAGATGTAGAAGATTGTCTTTTCGAAATGACCTGTGCAAACAATGGGGCGGTGTCCGTACAGGCATTTTCCAAGTCGGAGTCAACAGTCGCTCGAGCAGCGCAACGACATGGTGGAAGACATACCCTAGAAGTCCAAAGACTATATAACATGTAACACCTATAGACTATATAACGCCTTCAATTAATGTATATTCAGGATCATAGAGATGCATAAAGGACATTCCTGGTTCAGGTCACCTGTAGCTACAGTGTTTCAAGAAAATTGTTTTGGAACCAGCGCTCGCCGTCGTCACCGAGTTGGATGCTGAGACCTTTCGCTGGCAGGAGTCACTGGTCAAAAACATGCACACGTATGAGCAGCACATTGATGTGTCCCTTTCCAGAATCAGAAACACCGGAGGTTTTCGGTCGAAGGCCCTGAGCTGGTGTGGATTGCCCCGAGCTCTCGAAGACCATCTTCGAGAGAGTCTAATCATGAAAGTAAACTGCACACACAGCGTCGCCTGAACAGACCACTCATCATTTGGAGCGCTTGGCATGTGTTTGCTCCAAGAGCTTGCCCGTTCCAATGAAGAATCGATCGATTGGTTGAAGCCAGTATTTCCCATACACTCCATGTATTGAATATATGCCTAAATTGACCCCCCAAACCACCCCAATGTAGCCATATAATGGAGCGGTGCTTGTGCTTTCTTTCGCTATTCTCTCTTTCAGACCACACCTTTTGATGCGTGTATTTGCTTGTGTGTTTGATTCCCAGCTTGTGGCTCCAGGGAATCACAGAATGAGAGCTCTATGAGTCGGGGATGCTCCAAAGAGCTATAGTAACACACTATATCCATGGTATCACCATATATCACACTATATTCAGTAGCGAGTCGCTGTGCAAGTCGGTTTCCTTGACCTTTAGAAAGCTCAAAAAGCCGCCGACCCGGACCTGTCTATATAGGCGGCCTTACCAGGCAGCTCTAGGGATCCAAGAACTCATGCAAGCTTGCTTTCTGAGTCTTTGGCGCCAAGAAATCATGAGAATCATGCGAGACCATGCGAGACCCCTTTTAGGATCAAACATTGGGTTGGTATAGTGTGATTGTGAGGGTGTGGGTCGAAACCCGTTGCAGTCATCTTGGAGTGATGGAAGTGGATGTTAAAGCTATCGCGATCTCCAGGGTTTCAATCTCTTTCAACCCACTTTTCGACCCACACACTTGGCGCCGCCGCTTGTTGGGCAATCCAATGTAACAGAAAACATCGCCAGAGTCGGACGAGAGGACCCCCCCCCGGTCAGTCACGGTCCTAAAGTCTTCGTTCAGAAGCAGAAGTTCCACGATCCGTCCAAACGGTGCTGGATGCTGACGACAGATGCTGGCACTTGCTGATGACAGATGGCGAGGCCCGACCTGAGAAGGGCTCAGAAGCGGCGCCTGAAGCTTGGTGTAGAGAAGAAAGGGCGGCCGTATTGGCGAGGCCAGACCTACACCCCTCTCAGATCTTTTGGCCTCAAATCCTAAATGACGATCTTTTGATGAACCACCACTGATCTGCGAGTTCCATTACTTTTGGGAAATCTTCCAGATTGGCAAGCAACAGATATGCTCGCTCTGGTTGGTTGAGCTGGAAGTGACCTGACAGAACTTGTATCGGGCATGTTTGATTCTACCATACTCGACCTCCCAAATTGATTAGACCGATTGTCAAAAAGTTGGATTACGGTTCAGAACCTTCAGATGACTGTGCAAGGGCATGCCTTTTTTTAAAAATAGAAAAGTAGCTTGGCACTTGGCTTTTGCCCATCCATGTTCCATTTTGCTTGGTTCAGGCATGAAGGCCATCAAGGCAACCCTCCGTGCCAAAATAGCTCATAGCTTTCTCATCAATTGCCCCTCTGACCATCTCTGACCTATCAGTTCTGAATGGTTATATAATTTTCAGAATATGGCTTCGTTTCGCACATGGGTTTGGGGCAAAACTCGCCATTTTACGCCTCCAAGTCTTCGAGTGACGACTGGTGCCCCTGTCGACCTTGCGACACATTCACAGCCTATACGGTCGATACTTGTTAATTCTTCAAAAAAGCCATTGCCACACCTTACAAGCTCCGACCTACCCTCAAAACCACACCACCACCTCCACACTCCCAAAAAAAATCAAAAAAACATCTCCTGCACGACTGCGACAGGCCCGGCGCGACCGTGGTGAGCCTGGCTGGCCTGGTCTCGTTGACTCGTCCACGGACCTTCACCCTCCAACGCGGCCCGCGCCCCGCGCGGACCCCGCGCGGGGTCCGGCAGCCCGGCGATTCTGGGCCGCGGACCCCGCGGGTGGCGGTCTTGATCGATGGAGATCACATGGGGCCACCGTGGTTTGAGGCGATTCTGGAGGCGAGGTTTGGGGGGTGGAGCGATGGAGGAAGAGAAGCCTGACAATTCGACCAGCACCGTCCAGAGGGAGGTTTATAGAACCACCCTGGCATATGTGTTTACAAAATAACAATCCTTGGGCACTACATGGTACTGGTAGAGCTTACATGAGCTTACACCAGTCACGTTTGTCCTTTGCAGGGAGAATGAGTTTGAGCTACAGACAAAAAACATAGCATTTGGGAATCTTGATGCTTATTTTAGATATGCAAGGAAACGATATATCATATGTACTGGACGCCAGGCGCCACCAACTAAGACAACATGTCGCCAACAGGGTTTCTCGCTCATGCTCATGCAGTCTAAATCCATGGTAAACTTAGATTCTGAAAAAATAAGCATTTGGATGCGAGTCTGTGTGGCTCTGACTTCGTTGCGATGATTGATCATTTGTGCCCGAACATATACCAGACCCCCCAGTTTGGGGTGTCAAATAATAGCCCCTTAGAGGTGAAGGGATGTCCAATAACCACCCTAAACAGGGGGGGCTGGCGGCCTGGTATGTATCTTTGCACGACTGGCGTGTGCTCTCATTGGCTCTCATTTGTGGCATTTGAAAACACTCAAGTACTTTATGTTGGCTGCAATAAAAGCGAGATGCACAGAGATGCTCCGCTGATTTCGCAAAAGTTTGACAACCGAAGGATCAAAGGAGCCAAGCGAAAAGGGCAGCGACCGGTCGTGGTAGACGATGGCTGTGGCTTTTTTGTTAGAGCTTCGCTCTAATCTAAAGTCGCAAATAAGCAGCTCACACGCAGCAACGCAATGCTTTACTTCATAGTTGAGCTTGTATGACTGTCAGGTCTTTTTAACTAGCTAACTAACTAGCTAGCTAGCTAACTAACTAACCAACCAACTAACTCAGTAACTAAGGCGCCTTGGAGACGCATATCTACCTACTTGCAGGGTGGTTCCCAGCTGTTCTTTAAAGCTTCATGGACTACCGGTGGTTGTCTAACAGTCATAGGAGGATTAGTACCCGAATCGGTTCCTGGTTCACCCTCCCATTCTCCAACCAACGCATGGACGACCAGGCTGCTAGTGCTTTGGGATCTGTGGAAGCCTCCTGTTCCCTGACCGGCGTCGGAGGACGCGACCAAGCGGAGGAATCGGAGGACGGTTGGCCAAACAGTGCTGACCTACCCATACACTCCATGTATGGAATATATATGTGCCTACATTATAACCCCCCAAACCACCCCAATGTAGGCATATATGGCATACATGGAGCGTCTGGGGTAGAGAACCACAGTCATATGACCCTTTGTTGGGGTCAACCGCATGGCCGACCGTGCTCGACCCAACTGGAAGATCCGGCGAACTTTCGTGTCTTTCGAGTCTCGGTAGTTTCAGAGGTTTTCACGGTGGCACTGGACCCCAAGAGGACCTTTTTAGATAGAGGTCCACTACTAAACCACCAAACATTGGGGACTTCAAAGGGGTCACAGCCCTTACACTACTAAGGGACCTCCAGACAGGACCCCGTGAAGGTCCGGTATATTCCATATCTAATAGAGCTCTAAGAATCCGCACGGGGCCCCCCCCCAACGTCCCGACGCGGCGTTCCCTGTGAGTCGATGTGTTCCTTGTCGCCACCGGGCTTTCCATCTAGTGGAGCCAGAGGTTGAAGAACCCTGGTAGGGTCACTAAGTCTCCTGAGAGTCCATGATGAACTGCCATGGCAGCCATGGTCCTCGGTCTTGGTCGCAGAATCCTGTCTACCCATGTCCATCCTCATCCGCCAGGTTCAAAAATCACAAATTTGGTGTATGAATCATGAGTTACAATCTCTATGGTGTATCTCTCAAACAACCCATTTGGGTCCACTGGATATCTCCACCTCGAACTTGGGCTATTTTTTGTGGGTATCAGTGTGGTCCATTTGCTGGTCGACATGAGTGTCGACATGTCAGTAAGATCAGTAAGTAGGATTGGATGATTCTTGGGGGGCCCGTCCCATTCCCAGCGTCATGGGTTTCGTCATAGGGTTGATGGTTCCATCAATCATCCTTCACGATTCCGCACGGTTGGGTGTCGCAGTTTGAGATTGTCTTTATCGACTCAAAGGTCGCTTGGTGGCTCTACAGAAGCTTACGTTGTTTGTTTCAATACATCTATGCACCTGCATATTACGTCCTTGAAGGCAACCAGCCCAAGAAAGAACAATGGAAAACGCTCAAAACGGCATGCCCGGAAACTATGTAACATCTCGATCAGAGAGGTTTCCTTAAGGGCCACGACCCCTCCTGGCTGGAGAGGACAAACTCTACTGGAGGGGACAGACCCTACTGGCTCAAATGCCCAGGTTTTGAGGTCTCCAAAGATTGTTTTGGCCCCTAGGACATCGTCGTTCTTTTTAACAAAACAAAACATGTACGGGATGCACCACCTTGGATCACCGTCTTCGTCGAAAGCACTGCCGGCCCTCGGAGATGATCCTTCTCCGCTCCACACCGTGGGCCTTGAGAGGCGGTTGAAGTGCCACGAAGCGCTCGTGCGCGATGCGTGTGACGTGGCGGCGATGCGGAGGTTTTGGGGCTCCACATCTGGCATTGCGGTGGCGGAAGATGCTGAAGTACTGGCAGGTGCGCCCGGTGTTTCCATCCGGACGATTTCTGAAGGAATAGAGCTGCCTGAAATCATCATGGAAGTGGACAAGCACCTGTTTGTAGAGGAAAAGGATGGAAAATGGATGAAAATGGTCATTCTTTTGGGGGGCCATGCCATCCACCTAACCAGTATCATTTTATAGATGTTTATAGTATTTCATTGGAGCGTAAGATCTTTTTAGACATCTTGAACACCCAGGGCTGTGTGTTCAAAAAAGGTGCCCCTAGGACGGGGAGTGAAAGGTGTGTGTTTCTTTTCTATGGTTTCAAGTTTCAACTCATATATAATCATTAAGTCATGGTGGTGGGGACCGGTGTTCGACCTGTTTGCGTCCACAAAGTTGTTCCGATGCTGCAATCAGGTGGGCGCCCGCGAGAGCTATGGCCAATCTTGGTTTTGACTGGGACACCCAACATGTAGGCAATTGAGATGGGTCGATATCAGTTTTGTTTGTCAATGTTTGTTTTGTTTCTCCGCACCCATCGAAGAAACCTCATTCACGCTGACGATGGAGCAAAGCCAGTTTGACCACTGCGCGCTCCATGTTTGAGTCATGTAAACCCGCTAGATATGTTTTATATTTGTGTTTGCCAGCGGAGACATTCTTAAATCATTATTTTGGGCAAAGCGCCAAAAAACGACACAGACAGAAAGCTGAATTGTCAGATACAGGTTGTGTATAATGCTATAATTAGCGGTCTTTAGGAAGGAAAAACACCATCGGCCTTGACTGGTTTGTGTACCAGCAGTCACAAAGGGGTGCTTAATGGAGGTTAGGGGTGCCCAGAACATCCACTCACTGGATGGGACTAAACACCACCCCGTCTTGTGACTCCTGTTGCTTCGTTTTGACACCCAAGAGACGGTGGCATGGTCTCACACGTCAGACGCGTTCCGAATTGTTTGAATCGGGTTCAGAGTCTGAGACTGGACTGACCGCAGGGCCCGAGACACTCCCTTCTTTCGGGCACGGCCAGGTGCCTAATGGTTTACATCTCACTGCGATAGGCGTACTATATATATATATGTACAATGGCGTACCTTTAAAAAGCATGAACAATCATTGCGAACATGTGCATCGCTATGCATCGCTGTTCTTCGTGGGAAATGACTGCTTCGAACCCGCGAAACTCGCCACGCTGAGCCGTTCGGTGACGCGAATTCACAGGTGACGTTTCGGGCGGTTCAGAGGCCAGGCGACGGAACCGACGGGATGTGTTCGGGACGAGAGGAACGGTGTAGATGAAATGAATTGGAGGGTAACGGGTAGAACATGGCAAATTCATACAAGTCTCAGTTTTGTTGAAAGGTCTTTCAAGATGTCTTCGAAGGTGCATGAAAGATGTAATGTTGACTCTTGATTAATAAACCCCCCCCCCCGGCCCCTGCCCCCCCCCCCCTCAACTATTGAGACTCCAGAACAATGTGATAGAAAAACAATCAATTGATAAATAAATAAGGAATCCTTAGCTAGCTACCTCTGGAGCTACTCTGGCAATACTAAAATGAAAGGAATCATTACTTAGCTATCTCTGTCAATACTAAAAAAGAAAGGAATAATGTCCAAAGACCTCACTACAACTATAACAATAAAAAATATCTCACTACAACTACCCCTCCCCCAAAAAAAAAGACATTATTCTGGGGGCCTTTATTAATCTGTGCAGGAAAAAAAGTGTCACTATTCTGGGGTACTTTATTAATCCAAGTTCAACATTATCAGCAAAGGCACTGAGGAGGGAGAAGCGATGGGTTTCTAAATGATTCGTGCGTTTGTTCTTTGTTTGATGGAATTCACATGAATTCACTGCCATTCTCAATGCAGAAAATTAAAGGTCTTCAGTACAAGCCAATGGATGACGGATGATTCACAACCTTGCCCTGCCCACAGAAAAGAGAACGAAAAGTAGATATTCAATCTGCATCCAATTGCAGTCTTCAATACCCATACACTCCATGTATGCCATATATTGACACCCCGAACCGCATACATGGAGTCTTTGGGGTGTAGACCCGGTGAGAGTTCTTCGTTTCCTTCTTCCGTTGCGTGTTGGGAAGAAGGATGAAGAAAATGTCCGAGTTGGAGGCTGTTTTGCGGCGCCAAGGAAGAACTCTTCCAACTCGTGGAAGTTTGACGAACTCGTCGACCAGTGAGTGGAACTGGCACCGGGAGACCGACCGAATACGACCGGGGTGTCGGTCATGGTGGAGATACTAGACATGGTGGAGCAGGGCTTGGAAAAGACCTGACCCAATTTCTGTGCAGGGAAGATACCACTGGAGATGATGATCCCAATGATGTCGCGATCATGAAGGCTGCGGATGCCATTGCGTCCTCAGCTCCAGAGACCATCATCGCCATCGCCTCCACTGACACGGACTTCTTGGTGTCTGGGAAATACCTAGCGCCAGCGCTGTTTGGTTGTCCTGTCTGGTGACCTATATAAGCAGTGTAGGATTGTCCAGCCAGATAACCCCGACAGGAAGCTGCTGGTATGTTTCTGAAGATGCCTTCTAACTGAAGGACATCTTGGTTGGCAATTGGGATGATGGTTTGTTTTCAGAGAATTCCCTTCTGCAGGGGAAGATGTTGTTTTGGTTCCCAATCCTTTGACCTGACCCAACGAACGCAAAACTAAGGATTATCACCTCCAGTTGAAGGAGCAGGGTGTACACTCCTTGGCTTTGGTCCCATATGCCAGCGATGAGAAGCGTTGTGAAGTGGCTGATGTACCAGCAGCTGGTCAGATTTGAGATGAAGCTGATGAAGCTTTGTGTTTGACTATACTATCTCATAGATCACATGGTACACAATATGCTCACCTTGGTCTCAGAGTCGCTTTCTTCACAGGCACACAGGAAAGTCCAGTCAGATTCGCCAGATTGATTCGATCTATCATTTCCGCTGTAGCTCCCTCCGAGTTTCTTGCTTGGTCGCTCGTGTTTTCCCACAAACACACTCAAATCACATTCACCAGTTGTTCTTTCCAAGGAAAGTGACCCATCACCCACTCCTTTGCTTGTCGGACTCCCAGTCTGAGAGTCCGACCATGGTCTCCAGCCCACTTCGTCTCCAGTCTTCTCTATAGGTCCCAAATGGTCCCAACGTGGGTTTGGTTCTGCGGCACTGCGCGCTCCGAGGTTCTGCGCTTCCGCCCTCCACAGTCGCCAACTCCCGGCTTCGCCGATGCCTTTGAAGAGTACTTTGGGCGTGCCTACGACGAAGAGGAAGCAGATGCGGTGTATGCGACTGTTGGGCAAGGAGCGCCTTTGTTTTTGGGGGGGGACGACGAACCAAGAAGCGGCACTGTCGATCGAAGCGGCAC